CTTCCCCCTCCACCCAGCAGAGATTATGCTTATGGAATAACAATGGGTTCTAGCAGGTAAAGTATCTACATTTCTAAAGTCTATTTAAGTCTTTGTCTGAATACTTGTCTTTTCTACTCTGTCCCTCAAGATACCGGGATAAACCAATCAAGCATTCAAATTATTAACGATCCTTCCTGACGTTAATCAGGGATGTCTCCCACCTTTTGTTTACCCTGGCCATTAGTGGTCAAGTTTAATCTGACCATTAGTGGTCAGATAATCCATTCAACTAGCCACCCAGCACCTGGCTTCTATTGTTAAATCCAGACACTGCCTCTCTGGAAGCTCACTGGTCACATCTAGGCCTTGCCCATCCTGATGCCACACACCTCTGGGACTCATCATTGGTCCAGGAAATCTATTGTTCTCACCTGAGACCAGCCCCCAGGACCGCCCATTGGTCTGCATTGTCTTCCTATGGGTATATCCCAGCGTACACATGGCCTCAGACCGTGTGTTTTCTGCCATAATCCAAAATCGCAGTCCACCCCGAACTCTCTGAGTTTAGGCCACAATCCTTTCTTCATGGACCTCTGCACATCTGGACCAGGTTGTATCACCCCTCTATAAGCTATCAATCACCTCTGCTTCCTTATAGTTCTATATTGTGTGTGTGAGTGTTTGAATTGTGCGTTTGAGAATATTTAGTAAAGAAATCCTTATTTTAGCCACCCAGTCTCTTTGTCTGTTCCTGGGTTCTTGGGAATTCTAACTCTGGTATACACAGGTCAGATCCTATAGATAAGCCAATTGCATATTAATAATTATAATTTCCCATCTTTATTAAATAATAGAGCAATTTGGCTAACAAATGAATGCTGGCCGTGAAAGCCTTTGACAACACACAGAGGCATTCTTTGAGTGTTGGTGGAACCTTTCCTCCCTTGAGGTATGCATTCTATCTGGGTCTCAGTTTGTGTGCATTTAAATAGTTTCCAGGCCTCCTGGTGACCGCCTTTCCTACCTGAGGGACCGCCTTTCCCCATATATACCCCAGAGAGCACTACGGTCAGGGGCCCAACACCGGTTGACTATCCCGGGCCCCAAGGAGGCAAGGCTCACCAGCACTAGGACCAGAGCTTATTCTGTGGCGGCTCCCCACTGGGGGAACGAGCTCCCGGAGGAGATCAGGGTCCTGCGGGACCTTTTACAGTTCCGGAGGGCCTGCAAGACAGAGCTCTTCCACCAGGCCTTTCAATAGGAGCCGCCAATAGCACACGCCACCACTGTTACCACCAATGATCCTAGTGAAGGCCGGGATCTTAGATCTGGTCCTTTATATCGCTAAGCTTTCAGGCGCAAGGATGATGAGAGGTGTAATAATGTAGCATGAGATCTGGAAGTGCACCATCTAATGTGTTGTACTGTATGCACTTTAGTAGAAACTGTTAATTTATGTTTTAAAGTACTTATTATGATATTTTATAGAGTTTTAAGTTTTATGTATGTCAATTAGGTACATTGTACCGCAGTGTTAGCCGCCCTGAGCCCGCTAGCGGGATGGGCGGGGTATAAATATAATAAATAAATAAATAAATTGGACTTTCTTAATTCTCCCTTTTAACTTCATTGTTACAAGTCCTCTAACTTTTGTAGAGTTTCCTCTTGTGAAGTCATATGTGCTAGCTTTGGATTTTGGTGGCAATTTTCCATTGACATTAACTGTTGAACTTAATAGCATTGCAATCAACTGTTCTGAACTGGTGCAAGATCAACTACAATCTGAAGCATATTTTGAACACCAGTCAGAACCAAATCTAGAGTCACTATCCCTCTGTTTGGCTCTGTGACCAATTGTTCCAATGCGCAGTCATTAATGATATCTAGGAACCTCATTTCCGTGGCATGACTTGAGCACACATTTACCAAGTGATTATGGCTTGGTTTCTCCCTTCTATCCTCATAAGAAAAACGATTAGAAGTTTTGTTTTTTTTAGCAAACAACCTTAGCAGTCAGAAGGAGACTGGAAATACCCCTGTGGGGGAAGGACTAAGGTATCCTTACATATAAATGTTGGGGGTGTACCATATGCCACAACAATAGGCCAATGATTCAGTTTCCCTAAAGACAATAATTTGGTCCTTACTAGAGCTTAACAGCTTACCTCGGTTCCACTAAAATAAGAGGAACACACAGATTCACATTTTGGGGATGAGGGAGAGGTTGTAAAAGTTGAGTAATTAGGACTTCCCGTCTTATCAATTTTCTCTTTGATATCTTCAAGCAGCATTCCAAGTTTAAATATTTCTCCCTCTACTCTTCTAAATACAAATATAAGATACAAAGTTATAAATACTGCATAATACAACTTGTAGTATAGTATTAAGAATTAAAAGAAAACATAGTATTGGAAGCCTAAGTACTTCAATTAGAAAAACAAAATATTTAATGTGGAATATTTGCTGAATATGATGTTGATGAATTATAAAATTAACAGTAGTTGCAATCATAACATTTACTCATGACCAAAGAATTATGGTGGAGGGTGTCCAACAAAGCAATAGTCTGCACTAAAGATCAGATAACAAAATGAATGAATGGATAATAATATGGGGAATGAATGGATAATAATTTTTGCGCCGGGCACTGTACGTCCCCCCCTTTCGTCCAGCCTCTGGCCCTTTGACAGGCCGACTTTCTTCCCCCCCCTTCTCGCCCTCCCTTCCCTCCTGCCCCATGCAACGTGCAGCAGCCTCCCACCTGGGGCTGCCGCTGAAATTATGCTTTCGTGGAGTTCATCACAAGCCTGGCTCTTTCGCTGCACAGAGGCATCCCGCCAGAGGGAAAACAAGGGTGCTTTTGCAGAGCCAGACTCCCTCTCCCGCTCTCCTCCTGTGGCGGCCTCAGCTAGACGGGCCTCTTGTGCCGCTGCCTGCTCCCCCCCAGGCCGCTCCAGGTGCACCGCCCCCGCGCTTCAGAGCCTTGCGCTGCCTCCCCCCCGCGCCGGAGCCAGCGAGCGAGGGCAAGGCGCACTTGCGGTTCGGCTTGGCAAGCCCTTTCTTTACTGGCAGGGGTGTTTTCGGTTTCAGAGTAGGGGGCCTGTCCTTAGGCGGGCGATTTCCACAATCCAATGCAAAATGGCCTTTCTCGCCGCATTTGAGACAGAGCCCCATCTTCATGCGGAGATCCCGGGCTGATTCGGAGAGACAGGGCCAGCCGTGGCGCACAGGGCAGCAGCAGCTCTTTGGTGCGCGGGGTGGGGGGCACCCGGGCGGGGCGCAGTTTGGCGCCCCTGAGGGCCGGCGCGCCCTAGGCGAGTGCCTAGCTCACCTAGCGGGTGAGCCGGCCCTGGTTCTAGTATTATGGGAGAGTGAAAAAAGCTCTCTTTATCCCTTTTCTCTATCCAACACATAATTTTATAAATCTCTGTCATGTCTCTTTTTTTTCTAAACTGAAAAGTCCCAGACTCTCCAGCCTTTCCTCATAGGAAATGTACTTTAACACTGTAATCATCTTGTTTGCTTGCTTTGTTTTCAATCCCTTTCCTAATAATTCCTAGCATTTTCCCTTTTTCACTTGTGCCACACATTGGGTTGACATTTTCATTGAGCTTTCCACTGCAACCCCAAGATCTTTCTTTCTTTCTTTTTTTGAATTCCCCTAAGGAGAGTTTGTACTTTTTAAACCCCCAAAGGGGATTTTTTATTGCATTTTTAACACTACAAACTACAACAGAAAATAAGGAAGGGAACTACATTTAAAGGATAAAGAAAGATACCCACTACTGACTAAAAACCCAAGAGAGGAGATCATCTCACCAGTTTAGACAAACATTTAGTCTTAATCTCATTAATCTTACTATCAACTGAGTCAAATTTAACATTAACTTTTCTAAGTCTTAAGTTTAAAATTTAACTGTCATACAGAAATACTCCAGAGCATCTCATTTCAACATTTTATAAAGGCACAATTCAGAGTCCTTCAGCCTTTACTTCTCCTTGCCTAATCTCTTCTGGAGTTTATAAGGACTTTTAGGGGCTGCCGCCCCTTTCTCTGAAAGAGAGTCCTCTCCGGAGGATTCCGAGTCCAACTCACCATCGACTTACTGTCCATCCCTTTTTTCCCTTCTTCCCCTGGCTCACCCAACTGGACTCTTAAAAATTCCCGTGCTTTCTGAACAGAGTCAATCTTTTCTTTTTTGTCCTTGATTTTGAAGGTTACGCCTTCTGGAGTTAACCATCTATATCCAATTGCATTTGTCTGTAGAAAAAGAGTTAATTCTTTATATTTCTTTCTCCTTTGTCTTATCTCAAATGGAATATCTTTCAATGTTCTGATGGTATTCTCCCCCACTTTCAGGGGTGCTCCAGATACTCCTTTCAGGATTGCATCCCTCACATGCCTCTTCGAGAATCTTACCACAATTTCTCCAGGCAGATTATTTTTCTTTATATAGCCTGAATATGAGCCACATCCATATCGTTTAACAAACATTCCACCTTCATATCTGTCGCTGGGACCAATGTTTCACTCATTAGTTCCTTAAGATTCTCTCCCTTAGTCTCTGGCATGCCCTGGAAGCGAAGAATCATATTAGCCTTTTCCATTTGTAGTTGTAACAGCTGATCTTCCGTAGAAACTTGCTTCTTTCCCAGCTTTTGAACTTTCTTTTTCACCTTTTGTACAATGGCGTCCACTTCTTTAACCTTCTCAGCTGTTTCATTCATCATTTTAAGTGTCTCGTTTATCTGTGTTTGCTGGGTGGTGATACACTGAGTCATTGTTGTCATCTGCTCCTTGATGTTATTCATCTGGTCCAATAGGGGGCGCATGGATTCTGCCAAGTCTTTGCCAGCTCG